TATATTATGGATACAAGCTCTTTATCAGATAAGTGATTTGCATAGCTCTTCCTAGTATGTGCTTGCCTTTTCATCCTCTTATGGGTGTGCGTGTGTGCGCATATATATATATATCTATATATCTATCTATATATTTTTTTGGTACTGGGGATCGAACTCCTTATTGGTATATTTTTGAGCACACCATTTTGAAAATGCCTACCAATTCTTTCTTTTATAGACTGCTATTCTACCGTTATGGTTTGGGTAACTGTTCCTCCAGAGGTTCATGTGATTGAACACTTGGTCCTCAGGGTGGTAGTACAGTACTTAGAAAGGCAGGGCCTAGTGAGAGGTCACTGGGCACAATCTTGGAAGGTGGTTCTGAGGCAATCTCCTGAATTCTCAAGGAGGGTGGTTATTAAAGGAGCAAGCCATATCCCATTTAGCTCTGTCTGCTTCTGACTCTGAGATGTAATCATTCACATGCTGTAGTATGTGGTCCTACCATTGCTATCAATGCCATGAGGTTATGCAGCCAAGGGGTGACTCTGAGTCTAGGCTATGCCATTTGAATTTTAAACCTTCAAAACCCCTGAGATAGATAAACTACTTTTTCTTCATATGTTGTCTGTATTAGTTATCTCATTATCATGATCAAAAGCTGATTAATACTTAAGAATTCTTTAACTTCTGGTCTTGAAATTTTTCTCCTAAGGTTTTTGTAGTTTTAGCTCTTACATTTAGGCATTTGATCCTTTTCAGTTACTTCAGCAATTGCTGTATGTAAGGTGAATGCCTAAGTTCACCTATCTGCATGTGGCTATCCAGTCATCCCAGCACAATTTGTTGAAAAAATGGTCATTTCCCTGTTGGACTGCCCTGGCATGTTTATTGAAACTCATATGACCATAAATATAATGCTTAATTTCTGGACTCTGAATTTTATTTAATAATCTGTTTATGCCAGTATCACTGTATTGATAGCTATTTTAAGTTTTAAAATTAGGAAGTATCAGTCCTCTAGCTTTGTTTTTTGCTTTCAGAAACATGGAATTTCTAATATTCTGTATGAATTTTACAGTGAGCTTGTCCATTTCTAAAACACGGTGATGGAATTTTGATAAACAGTGTGCTGAATTTATATATCAGTCTGGGAAGAACGGCATCTTTTTTACCCCCTCCCTTTTGGTACTGGGATTTGAACTCAGGGCCTTTGCACTGAGCTACAACCTCAGTTCCTTTTTAAAAAATGTTTATGCTTAGTGTCAGGGTTTTGCTAAATTGCCCAGGCTGGGCTCAAACTCACTACCCTCCTGCCTCAGGCTCCCAGAGTGAGCTATTACGCCCAGCTTACATCTTAACAGTCTTAACTACATCTTAACAATATTGACTCTTTAAATCCATAGAAGTGGAGTATTTCTCCATTTATTTAAATCTCCTCTAAATTTCCTCAGCAATGTTTAATAATTCTTAGAATGCCCTTTTATCTTGATCTTAATTCATTGAGCTTTATAGCTATACAGTTTATTGTACCATGTGCACTTAAAAAGAATGTACATTCTTCAGTCATTGAAAAAAGTATATTCTTAAAAAAGGCAGTTGTAACACAGTTGCAAATTGTGTTGTTCAGATCTATGTTTTGACCAATTTTGTTAGCTGTTTACACAGCTCATGCAAGGTCTTAAAATACCCAACTAAGGTTTTAGAACTCCTGTCAATTTTTGTTGCATTGTTTTTGTTAATTGTATCTTCCTTGTGAATTCTCTATTATGTTGCTTTTTGTCTCTAGCAAAATGTTTTGACATTTATTTTCTGATATTAAAATTGCCACCTAAATCTTCTTAGGCTGTTTGCAAAGCATAGTTTTTTGTCTTCCATTCTTTCAAGCTGTTTGTTTCATTATATTTAAAGTGTACATCATACAGGCATCATATAAGTTCTTACTTTGTCAGTAATCTGTCTTTTGAGGTGTTTAAATGACTGCCATTTAATTATCGATATGAACTGGATTAAGTACTATTTCTCTTTTCCTTTTCCTGTCCTATTTAAAAATTTTATTGGCTTTTTGACTCTCTTTGCATTTTATTTTGAAACAGGGTCTCACTTTGTAATGCAGGCTTGTCTTGAGCTCACTATGTGGCCCAGGCTGGCCTCAAAGTCATGGTGATCCTCTTGCTTCAGCTTCCCAAGTACTGGGATTATAGGCATGTACTACCATGATTGGCTCTTTGTATTTTTATTATTTATTTTTTATCCCCCTGGTACTGGGGATTGAACTCAAGACCTTGTGTTTGCAAGGCAGGTGCAGCGCCACTGAGCTAAATCCCCGGCCCTTCTTTATATTTTTAAAGTGGATGCTTTAGGGGTTATACTACAAATACCTAATATTCTATGGTTAACTTAGAATTAGTATTGTACTAGTATATACATAAGATCAGTGGGATAAGTCCTTTTGCTACTGTCAAACATCTATATATATATTGAAAACTTGAGGTAGGGATGCAGTTCAGTAGCATGAAGCCCTATATTCAATTCCCAGTACTGGGAAGAAAAGAAAAGAAAAAAACAAAACATGAGATGACATTATAATTTTTGTGTTGGACAAGTTACAAGTTTGTCAAGGAATTTAAGAGGCCAAGAAAGCAGTGTTTTATATTAGCCAGCTGTTTATCATTTGTTTTGCTCTTCCTTCCCAACAATTCAGCTTTTTTCCTGGTATTATCTTTCTTCAACTTGAGGAACTTCCTTTAGCATATCTTGTAGAGCAAGTGTGCTATAGATGAATTTTCTTTATTTGAAAATGTCTTTATTTTTTACCTTCATCCCTTCAGAATCTTTCTACTGGATAGAGAATTCTGGCTTGACAGATCTCTTCTTTCAACATGTTAAAAATATGTTTTCACTGAATTCTTCTCTCCTTAGGTTATGATGAAAAATTCATGTCATTCAAATCTTTACTTCTCCATAGATAAATGTGTAATTTTTCTTTTGTAGCTTTCAAGATATTTTTTTCTCCAGCAGTTGTTTTATTAGAAGATAGACACCTTTGGTTTTTAGCAGTTTATGATGTGTGCAGTTGTGGATTAAAAACATTTTTTTTTCCAGGTTTGGTTTTACCTTTGTCCTTTCTGTCATTTGCTGTTTATCTTGTATCTGTAAATCTATATCCTTCACCAAATTTGGGGAGGTTCAGTCATTACTTCTTCACGTATTTTTTCTGCCACACTTTCTTCAATCTTTCTGGACGTCCAACTATACATGTTATTTATTCTGATATTGTCCCATAGGTCTCTGAGGCTCTGTGCACTTATAAAAGTCTTTTGTCTCCTTGTTCTTCAAATTGGTAATTTTTATTACTTGGTTTTTAAGTTCACTAACTCCTTTTGCTGTCAACTCCATGCTGCTACTGAACCCATTCAATGAGTTTATTTTAGACAATGTATTTCTCCAAGTTATAAAATTTTATCTTAATTTTCATTTCATGCTGAGAATTCCCTTCTTTTCATTTATTATTTATTTATTTATTTATATTTATTTTTTTTGGTAACAGGGATCAAACTTGGGACCTTGTGCTTGTGAGGCAGGTGGCGGAACCACTGAGCTAAATCCCCGGCCCTGTGTGGTTTAACAGGTAATGTTTAAACTCTCAGGCTAGTTCTCTAAGTAGGTCTTTGTGTGATGTTTTGCATCTATCCCATGCATGTGTAACTCAAGAGTTAAGCTGAGACTTGTAGGATTTTCTTCTAACTCTTCAACCCATACAGGATCTTTTCCTTTATTTCTCTAGGCAGGAAATATGGGTTTCTCTTGAAATTTTGGCTGCTAGAGCTGCTATGGCACACTGTGACTACCCTTGAGGAAGGAGGTAAGGAGGCACGAGAAAAGAAACTGGGAAACTCACTTCTGTGTGGATCCTTCCCCACAATCTGCTAACTCCTGTTTTGTTTTGGAATTCTTTTCTGGGTGTTTTAAAATAATTCATCTGGATTTCTTTATTTTAATCAGTAGGGAGTAAGGATGAGGTGTAATGGCTCAGTTTATATTACCATAGTAAAACTCAAAACTCTCACTGTAGGTTTTTTGCTGGGAATGATACAATAGGTTGGGAGCCATTTTGTTGGGCACTTTGTCTTTTTGATACCACACTTCCTGTTCAGTTTCTTATTGTTCTTTTGAAGATAATTTATCTTTTTTCTCTAGCATCTTTTAATTAATACTTTTGCTTTGTATTTCATTTTTTTTTTTTGGATATTGGGGATTGAACTCAGATTCTTAGGCTTGTGAGGCAGGCGGTGGAACCACTGAGCTAAATCCCCGGCCCCTAGGTGATTAAGTATGCTTTTCTTTATATTCTGCTTGACATTTGCAGAACTTCTTAAATATGTGAGTTGACATCTTTAATCATTTTTGGAAAATTCTTGGTAATTAGCTTTATAAATGTTTGTTATATCTCATTCTCTTCTTTTTCTTTTTGAATTCCACTAGATGAATTAACTCAAATTCTGACCTACATACTCTTTGGTGTATTTTCTGTTTTTTTCCTGTCTGGGTTTCAGTGTGAATATTTTCTATTGATTTCCCATCTAGTTTACTAACTTTTCTATTTCTGTGTTTTATCTGCTGTTAAATCCAGCCTACCAGGAAGAGAAATCATTGCCTGGCTGGCAATTTCTGAAGCCATACTGTACACTGTACACTGTCTAAAAAAGTGTACTCTGAAGGAAATTCTGAAACTTAGTCATTAAACTTTCACATAACACAAATGCTTACTGCAGCTACAAATCATTGCTTTTCAAAACTGAACTATAAATATAGCTTTAAAGTGAATTTTCCTTCTTTATAAAGTCATTATTTCAGTTTAAATTTTGATGCTTACAAACCTTACACATCCTGTAAGTCCTTTTTATAAAGCTATGTTTAAGGAGAATGGTTAAAACAGCTATCTTTGTAGGTAAGAGCCTTTCAGTGGTGGTAGAGGATGTATGAAAGTAAAAGCAGCAAATACTAACCAAACTTACCTTGGATGATGTAGCATACATGGTGAATCTTGAGTACCACTTGCTTGCTTTCTCTGCAACTCCTTTTCCAGCAGTGAACATACTATGCCTTAGAATATCTAGTTTTGGTACTAGCAATGTATCTAAATTAAATGAAGGTGATGGATAGGTTATTGTATCTTGAGATCCATCCCTAAATGGGCAAGTAGGTGAGAAAGCTGGAGAAGACCAGAGTCTATCCCTTGTTTTCTCCTCGCTTTTTGTGTAACTTTTAGATTTAGTAAGTCTCACGGGCCTAGGAGAATTAGGAGGCAGGCTACATCTTCTGCCTGCCTTGACCAATGTTGGACTTTTCTTATTGGTTAATTTATCATCACAAGCTCGTTGTAAATCAATGCTCGGTGTACGACTTGTCAAAGGACTGCTCATGTTATTCATATACATCTCAATTTCTTCAGCTAAATCACGCCTAGCAGATGGTGTTGAAATGCTTTTGCTGTCATCTTCATCGTCCTCCTCTTCTTCTTTTTGCTGCTGCTCAGTCTCAGCAACCAGAAGAGAGAGGGGGTCAAATCCTGTTGCAACATCAGTTTTTTCAGAAGGCTTTACTGAAAAGCTGCTGTTCATACGTTGAATCCTCCTGGGATTTTGTGTAGCAACATATCCTACTTTTGATCTGTCTGCTTCATTGTCTAAATCTTCTAAGTCAAAAATAACAGCAGAATCCATTTTATCTGCCAAACAACTAGGACCATCAAAAGGTGTATCATCATCACTAGATTCCTTTTCTAGACTGCTTCTTTTTGATCTTAAAGGTGGCTTTCCAATATCAAGACTATTTGGCCTTGTGCTATTTGAGATAACATTTGAAAGAATTTTTGCATCGGCTCCTAATTTTTCAACTATATCTCCAGGGTTTGCTTCTTGGTTAATTTTATTCAGCATAAATCCCATCAATACACCTCCACTAAGATTAAGGTTTCTAGTTCCCCAGGCCAAGTGCTGCTGCAAATTAGGTTCATTGTCACTTTTATGTCTTTTCCTGAAGCATCTACTTTGAATGTTTCCTGTTTCATTTGTATCCTCAAGAGTTGACATTATGAGCTGCTCAGGTATGCTTTCTGAAAAATGAGAAAAGTACTTTTAGCCATGAAAATGTAATGTGCAAATGTAAGTTATCTTAAATATTTAAAGTTCTAGTAATGAAAATGATCTTAAGAGGTACTCACTGCCTTCCTGTTATTCAACATATCATATTAAGCACTTTACTTATATTATCTACTGCAAACATTTCAACATTCTTATGCGTTAAGAAAAAATACTCAGATTTAAGTTACCCAGTCCTTAAACGATTGAATTGTGATTTGAATCCAGATTTGTTTAACTATAAAAATTCTGCTCCTAGACATTAGGACATACTTCTAAAAAACTTAAAAAGACAATTGAGATTTATATTTAAGGCAGGTACAGTGGTACATGCCTGTAGTTCCAGCTACTTGGGAGGCTAACGCTTGAGGATCACAAGTTCAAGGCTAGCCTGGGCAACTTAGTGAGATCTTGTCTCAAAAAATAAAAAGCCAGGGGGCTGAAGGATGTAGCACAGTGTCACAGCTCTTGCCTAGCATGTGCATAGCCTTGAGTTCAATCCCCAAAACCACACAAAGAGAGATTTACATTTAATAATAGTAAATGTACATTAATTCCACTAAATGGATTAAATGACTACAGTTATACAACTGTGGTTGTGCTGGATGAGCTTGAGATTCTGGGTCTTCTCTCTTTATTAAAATGAAAAACAAACCCCTAAATCCCCAAACCAAACCTAAGAGATAGCAGTTCTATTGACTTTATCCATAAATAACATTTATTTTAAAATCACCAAATCTTTGGGACTATAGAGAGAGACAAATAACTTTACATTTGCTTAATATATTGACTGCCAAGTTTATACCAGAGAAACATGGATGGGCACCTCACATTATTCAGAAACACTGTTCACTGCTTCCTACCAAATTTCTTAGTTAATAATGCTGAAAACAGAAATCTGGGTTTCTGTACTTGATCTTAGCCAAAAGGCTGAGAAGTGACAGAAATCTAGGTTTCTGTTATCTTTAAGTGTTCTTATAATGTGGGAGTCTTATAAAGCATTAATCTAGGTATAGTACTATCATTTATTTATCTTAATGATGCATTATTCAACAGAATTAGATCTCTATAACTAGGGCTGGGGATTCAGCTCAGTGGTGCCGCACCTGCCTCACAAGTGCAAGGTCTTCAGTTTGATCCCCAGTACCAAAATAAAAAAGTCTCTATAACTAGGCAGTTAGTAAAAATATGCCTTTTTCCCCCTGCCATGTGATACATGCAGGCAACAGGACAAGAGATAAAAGGTAACAGTAAGGGCATAAAAGATTAAAAACTATTGTTGTTTAATAAGCATGTACCATTAACAAGAGGATATAAGAGAGGCAATTTTTTCCCTTATCAGTTTATAATTGAGGACATAAACCAAGACATACTTTCTTCTGATATCCTGGGAACCCTTCTGCTTGACAGGTTAAAATTATAAAAAGCTTAGAGGAATTTTGTAACTCAAATATAATACTCTGAAACTGCCTTAAAATAGATGACCCAGGGTTCCTTGCAAAGTCTGCCCTATGCTATGACCAAAAGGCAAAGCTGGTTATTAGACCATGCCATGGATTGGCAAATTATACTTCTGAACCAAATCTGGTCCAAGGCCTGTTTTTTGGGTACAGTAATGGTTTTTATACCTGTAAAGGGCTGTAAAAGTCACATACACATACAGAAGAAAAGGTAACAAAGATTGTATATGGCCTGAAAGGACCCAAATATTTATTATGACCTTTTGTAAAGAAGTTTGCCCAAGGGCCAGAGATTTAGCTCAGTGGTGCTGCTCCTGCCTCAAAAGCGCAAGGTCCTGAGTTAGATCCCCGGTACAAAAAAAAAAAAAAAAGTTTGCCCAATTCTAAATTTACATACATGCTAAATTTTACCAGACTAGGCTGAATTCTGCATGCCTCTAACACAGAGGTTATAGACGATTTAACTTCCTTAGTCCCAGGTGGCTTTATGACATAATTCTAGCCAGTCATATTAAGGTGGCAGCAGTTTATGGAAGGTTTCTGGAAAATCTTTTGCTTTCTTGACCAAAGGGATAGAAGTAATTTGTACTCTTTTTTTCCCATTCCTTCAGCCTTGAACAGATAGATTATGCCTGGAGATATCACTGGCCATATTATAATCACGGGTAGGGTCAAGAAAATTGATGGCAAAGTCACTTAATCAATATTAGAACAAGTGCTTAACTTTGAATTTCCTAGTTGAGAAAAACAAACCTCAATTTGTTGAAGCCACTGTTAATTGTATTGTCAGAGATTTAACAGATTAGCTTCTTCCCAGATCTTTGAACACACTGTGATACACTCCTACACACAACCTTTTACATATGGTTCCCTCGACTTGGGATTCACCCTCTCAATTTCATTCCCAACCCTTATCCGTCTTTATTTTCTATTCTTCTTTCAGATCTAAGTTCAAAACTCATATTCACAAGGAAGGCTTCCCCCGCCAATTTCCCCCTAAACACAAGACACATCTCGACTGTATGTTCTCATAGCAACTTACAGCCATTCTTCACAAATTTAAGTTTAGACTATTTTTACATTTACTTGATTAACATCTTTCCATTCCTCCCACCTGCTTTCTCCATGAATGCAGGGGCTCTGTTTATTTTTTTTCCGTATCATATACCCAACAGTAGTGAACATTACTGAAGATGCTCAAAATAGTATTTACTGAATGAATACTGTCCATTGCGCAAAAACTGTAGTCAACTCACCAACTCAGGATATAACATATATAATATATTAGAATGTGATATATTCTGTTATGTGTAAAGACAAAAAGTTAAAGCATACTAAAAACAGAATTAAGCTTAGAGAAACATTTCAGAATTACATTTTCCTCTGGTTGAACTCTCAGTAATTCAAGGTATGTTTACCAAATTATTAAAATTTCAAGATAATCATGAAAGAACTGTAGGGTGATGATTTTATTTCACTGTCCAATCTAATATTAAAACATCTATTTACTCCCATGTCTTTTAGTAGCTGATCGCTGTGTACATATACACAGTACAGGTTATGCATATGCAAATATGTATCCAGTGATATAAAGTAAATATCCAATACTGTACTGAAAAACATAAACCTGAAAAATGCTTTGAATCCTAGTATGCACTAGTGTGTAATAAGATAAAAAGTTTTTGAAAAATAAGCATGCTATAAGTCACATATATAGTCTTTAGGAGTAGTGATAAATCCATAGTACTTAACAAATGGAAAGTTTTCAAGTCAAAAATATCAAACTAATAATTCTAACTTATACTAATGAAATCCATTACAGGCTTTTATAAAATTGAATTGTTAAGCATATAGGGTAACCAAAAAACCAGATGATCAGATATTTATTACTCTGAAAAAATGTCAGGATCAAAAGATCATTTATAATAATATTTACTTAAAAGGTTGTAAAAGTAAATCCTAAGAAAAGAGCAAGCATGAACAGAGTAATGAAAACATGAAACCTTTGCACTCCAGGAGGCTGAGGCAGGAGGATAATGAGTTTAAGCTCAGCCTGGGGAACCCAGCAAGATCTTGTCTCAAAGGGCAAGGCAAAAAAGGGCTTGGGAACATAGTTCAGTGCAAAGGTCCTAGGTTCAAGTCCCACTACTTAAGAAGAAAAAAGTAGTGCTAATAGTCCCTCTCACTAATATAAATGTTGCTGTACTGAGAAATACAAAATAATACATAAAAAGCATTTTGAGCTGAGTGTGGTGACAGATGGTAATCTCTGCTACTTGGGAGGCTGAGGCAAGAGGATTTCAAGTTCAAGTCCAGCCTGGGCAACTCAGCAAGATCCTGTCTCCAATAAAATAGTATTTTAACAAAGAGCTAGGGCCAGGGATTTAGCTCAGTGGTGCTGCCGCCTGCCTCGCAAACACAAGGTCCTGAGAGTTCGATCCTTGGTACCAAAAAAATAAAAAGGGCTGGAGGATGTAGCTCATTGGTAGAGTGCTTGCCTCTCACATATGAGGTTCTGGGTACAATTCCCATTACCATAAACAAACAAAAAAGGGCACTATGAAAAGAAAAAAATAAAGGATAATGTTACTTAAACTATGCGAAGGGCTATTCTTCTTTGCTTCTATGCAAACTAAAGAACTAGAGTTTCATTTAAAAATTATCTAGCTGTATGGCACCCTTACACTTACTACCTCTCCTGCTCCTACTTCCCTCTTTCAGAAAGTCCTAACATTCCAAACTCAAAAGGCAGTGTATAGTAGGAGGTATGCCATATACTTTGTTATAATAAAAGTTTGAACAAAGTATGTTACAAAATACAAAACTCAAACTACTAAGTTGCACCATGAGAGGTTGCACAAATACATTTTTTAAATAACTGGGAAGAATTAAGACTCATTAAAAATAAATATTCACTAGGTCATAGTACAATTCATTCTGCACATAACAAATGTGTTCTATTCAACTTACCTGTGCATTCTCCTGATATTTTATCAGCATTGTTATTACTTGTGCCATTGAGGCGGACTATATTGGAAGAACAGTGACAACTGAGCTTAGGAAGGCAGTCAGCACTTCCTTTTGCACTCTCGTTCTCTGATACTATAAAGATGAAAATGAAAATGTTAATAAGATGAATCTACACTATAGGAGGCATAAAGAGAAGCAGCCTTTAGTCTTAAATATGTCTACCTGGAAACTGGTGATAAGGATATACTGGATACCTCTTTACCACATTATTAGTCACCCACAAATAAATCATTCCAATTACTTGAGGCCTCAAAGCATGGATCAAATTACAAGTACTGGTCATACATGAGGTTCATCCACAAATTCTGTATTTTCTCTTTAGTTGTGAAAGTGAACTTTTGGTGAAGGAAGTGGGGGGTAATTATGTCATAGGCCATTACAAAACTTCAACTGAAAGTGTTACTAAACCTCAGAAAAGAGATTCTGTTTAAATATATATATATGCATATATATATATATCCTATATTTCTCCTACACTGAGTTTAAAAAAAATATATAGGTATTTATTTATTTTATTTATTTTCTTTTTGGTACCGGGGATCGAACTCAGGACCTTGTGCATGCAAGGCAGGCGGTGGAACCACTAAGTTAAATCCCCGGCCCTTACATTGAGTATTTTGTGAGCAATACACCATTCACTCATAGTATTTGGACAGTGTTTTGCCACTGAGATCATACCTGAAAAATTTGTATGAAAACATGGGAGAGCTTACAATGAAAGTGTTATAATAGGAAAATGGAAAATAAAACATACTTTATTACTTGTACTTTCTATGAACATATAAATTTACAATTTTACACATTTTCAACTTAAACAATACCTACAGGAACTAGAATCACTCTCTTTTTTATTTTTTTCTTCTTGAATATCCTCAGTAGATGCATCCCCTCGTCTAACTTCATCCTTAGACAATGAATTATATCCAAGATCAGACTGGCCACCTAGGAAAAAAAAAGAAACAAAACCCTGTGTTGTTTACCATACTTCTTTAGAGAAAGCACCTGAAACTAGGAGCAACACATTAGTGTTCTGGATAAGTTCTAATTGAAAGCACTATTTGGTTAGTTACCTCTACCATATCTCCATTAATGTAAGAAATCTCAAAATAATATACTTTTGGCTCTATAGTGCAGCCAAAAATTCATTCACACTACTATGTGGGTACCAAAAGACACAGATCAATCAGGCCATGTCCTTCACTGGGGAAGGTCTGAGTTCCAACTAAGTAATGGAGAACACATTCATACATAGGCCACTGGAGCTGAATAACTAATGACTCTACCAAGAAGCTAAGTTTCTTTAAATTTACTGGTAAGTAATTAATTTTTTCAGAATTTAAATGAACAATTACAAGATTGCACCAATATACAGGAACAAGAAAAATATCTAGTATTAAAGTTACTGTTAAGAAAGCAAAAGTTACATCAATTTAAGAAAACTACAAACTTTTGTTAAAGAGGGTCATTTTCATTTTTAGTAAATTTTTCCACTAGATTAGTATCAAAAGACAAGGTTCTGATATTTTTTTTGAAACAGGTCTCACTAAGTTGCTTAGGCTAGCCTTGAACTTATGATCCTCCTGATCCTGCTTCTCAAGTGCTGGGATCACAGGCATGCATCACCATGCCTGGCACCAATTTAATTTTGTTTGAATCTTAAATTCCCAGATTTGTTAAACATACGGTTGCCATGATTAGACTAAAAGTAAAATTGTTCTATAAACTTGTTAAGAAATCTAAGAAAATTATATTAAATACCAGTATTTACTTCAATATCTTTGTTATAATTTTGAGTTTGCATTTTTTCTAATCAAACGTCAAAGTCCTACTTGCAAAGAAATTACAAATAGAAATATGTGAAATAATCTTGTAATTCATTTTATAAGGTTCTGCACTATTTTAAGACAGACTTATAAAAAGCATTAGTTAAAAGTAAAAGATCTCGGGCCGGGGATTTAGCTCAGTGGTTCCAGTGCCTGCCTTGCAAGCACAAGGTCCTGAGTTCGATCCCTGGTACCAAGAAATAAAAAACTCATTATTTTTCAGAGATAATGCCTGAGAATGACTGCTATAACTGATTAAATTCATACTGCAGGATCAAGAAATAAAATCAGCCAAGGAAAAATTACTATGAATGTTACATTTCAACACAATCTGCTTACATTTATTAATCTTAAAGTAGGAATAAAAGAAGGCATAAAAAATGTTGACATTGACTGGGGATTTAGTTCAGTGGTTTCTCTACCTGCTGTGTAAGCGCAAGGACCCAAGTTCGATCCCCAGTACCAAAAAAAAATTGACATTGCAGATGGAAATTCTCATATTTTATCAGTAATGTTTCAATTTTTAAAGTTTCAATCCATTAAGAGCTTGTGCTTATACTATACTAAAAATCATGTATAATTGTTAAAATGTAATAATAAAAACTCAGAATAATGTAAGCATATTTTTAAAGTGTTAGTTTCAATAACAGAAAAGGCTTATACACAAATCTTGTATTTCAATGAAGGCTATGCCCTCTTCAGTGCTAGAATACTATTTTTAACATTTAAAATTGTAACTTTAAAAACAGTTTAAGACCCATAAGAACTTGCAAAAATACCATAGCATAGAGAATTCTTGGGAAGCCCTTCATCCAAGTTCCCCACTGACACCTTATATAACCACAGCACAATGTTAAAATCAGAAAACTAACATTGCTATAATACCACTGAGAAACAGAGCTGTAAGTTTCTTTTTTAAAAAGCTAGCAATATTTTCATAACTACAAAGAATAATCCAAGAGAATGACATAGTAAAGGGGCTGGGTTGCTCGGTGGTGGAATACTTGCCTACCACTGTAAGACGCTGAGTTCAGTCCCTAGCGCCACATGTACACAAAAGGGATAGGGGATGCAGGGAAGAAAGGGAGGAAAGGGGGTAACAGGAAGGAGCAGGAGCAGAAAAAAAGAAAAAGATACAATGAAGAGATCTGTGGCTACCCACGGTTAAATTATTATGAACTAAATTCCTGATTAAAGTACTTTACAATCTCTCAAAGAATGAATAAAATTACATGTAGTTACTAAATTCAGTAGGAAATCAAGTACCTAACATAAAATTTAAAAGTGACAGTTAAGCATATCACTGAAAATAAAAATTTTAAGAACACAGGCTAGCAAATCTTGTTTTGCAAATGTACTGTAATGAATATATACATAAGCACACACAAACCTGTACTAGATCTATCATCAGTAGCATACATTTTGATTAAACCCGTATTAAAAGATGCCTGCTCCACAGTGTGTGTCCCATGACCACTATCCATGCTGCCATGACTAACAGTATCCAGGTCACTGCCATCTGCTTAAGAACACAATTTGATAGCATTTTACTACTCAATGAGACACCAAAAATATACATTAGAGTTTGTTGTTCAAGCTAATAAACTACTAATGTAATAATAAGCATGAAAAGTGCCACATAATCACCAAAATACAACACAAAGAAACCTACTGTGAATTATCAATGAACACTGAAATAAGATCACCAAAGGCTGATAATTTAACAGGAGAAAAAACATTTTTTTAAACAGAAGAGTACGCTAATACAGGCTGAGCTTCCCTAATCCGAAAATCTGAAATGCAAAACTTTGTATGTGCCAATGTGAAACCACAAGTGCAAAATTGCACACCTGGCCACATGTGACAGATCACAATTCAATGCAGGCACACTAAAAACACTGTATAAAATTACATTTAGGCCATGTGTACAGGGTGTATATAGAACATAAACGAATTTTGTATTTAGACCTTGGGGTCCCACCTCAGAGATGTCTCATTTATGTATATACAAATATTCCAAAATCCAAAAAAGTCCAAAATGTGAAACACTTCTGGTCCCAAGCTTTGTGGATAAGGGATAGTCAACTTGTATTAGAATTTGCTTAATGGTAATAATCAAAGCCGGAAATATTCAATATTTTGAAAACATTAAAAAAATTTTAAAATATGAAATGCAAACCACTCAACTAATTTTGAAGAAAAAGTAAAACACATATATTCCTTAATTACCTGAAAGAGTTGTTTGTGATAAGTGTGCCTGCTTCTTTAAAGCTCTTTTGAATTGTGCTACTCCTAAAACAACATTTCTTACTTTTGTCCAGAGAAAATAGCCACTACGACTTCTTGAAGGCCAGGTACTTTCCAAAACAGCCTATTCATTCGAAACAATAAAATAATTAGTTAATTAAATAACTTTTATAAATGAACATACATTGGCTCTAGTATTAAGCTAAAGAACATCAAAGTAGATTGTATAACCTGAAGGAGAACACAAAATTATTAATTTACAAAATAAATTTGATATCCTAAAATAAATGCAAATAACCCCTGCATCAGTTATTTCTGCCATTAAACTAAAGTTTAATAATGACAAAAATAATTCTCCATTAAATCAAAATAATTACCTTATTATAATAACCGTAAGTAATTGCATTGGGGTCAATACCAGCTTTCTGCATTTCAAATAGTACTCGAACTGCAAGTACTGGCTGATCATACTGCCCACAGAGCTGCATAAGAATGCGGTAGCACACCTGAAACACAAGTTGAACAGTGTACAGAAACAAAAACACATGTATGAATCTAGGATAAAATGATATGTTATAAAGAATAACTTACCTCATCAGGTGGATCCATCTTCTTTGACTGCATTTTTTTTAGCACATCATAGGCTGTTTTCAGAGCCCTGACTTTGGAATGACACACTTTCACATAAGCTGGCAGACAAATAAACCACAGCCCGTAACAATGGCGCAGTAGGCACCTAGACCACATCTGAGGGATAGAAGAATACTTCTTGGCAATTTTATGGGCTGATTTAATTTCCTAGAAAAAAATTGAAAAATCGCATTAATACATTTAGACTTAGGCTATCTTATTTAATGAATACTAAACAAATAAAAATCGCATGCTTTTATAATGGTTCCATAAGAAAAATCTGTGTAGCACTAATACATTTTCAAGCTTTTCTTGACTATGTATTATGGAATATATAAAATAAAATTCTAGGACAAAGTGACTAGGATACTTCTGAAGTTGGATTACTATAAACTATCTTCAGAGTGCACAAAGACAATAATCTAGTAATAGTTGTATACATGGTGGTAAAGTATATTAAAGGAGGATGAGCATCAAATTTACTTCTTATTCTAATATTTGAATACGTGAAGAATTCAAAATTTTCAAAGCACCTGTTTTGTTCTTCTGAACATGGGAGAAGGGCTATTAGGACTACTTGATTTTGAAGGTAATTTATTCTTCCGCATTTGTAGAAATCCTTCAGGTCTCTCAAATAAATTGTTCCTAAGAACTGGAAACCCATTATAGCTGTTTTAGAAAAGAAAAAAAATTCTCAAGCACACAGAATACCACATTGGCTGTAAACTAAAAATATTATGGCCAGTAACTTATAAGAATTTAACTATCTCGGGCCAGGTATTTAGCTCAGTGGCGCCGTGCCTGCCTTGCAAGCACAAGGTCCTGAGTTTGATCCCTGGTACTGGGAAAAAAAAAAAAAAGACTTTAACTATCTCCATCAGGTCATAATATATACTCAATAAATATTTATGCTAACATTGCCTTTTTTATGATAACATTTTAAAATGTAATAGCCAAATACAGACTCAGTATATTTTGTGGTAGTGAGGAGAAATACACTTAAGTGAACTTGATACCACATTTCAAAGTCACTCAAACTTTTAAAAGTTAGTATTTATGTAAATATATAGCAAACATATTAGAAAGTGTGACTATTGGTAAGAGGTCCATAAAGTCAATAATCTTTCAAACAACACAACCATCAATTTCACTGCTTTGGATTAACATATTTACTGTAGAACCTCTCTCTTAAAAAGTTGCAAACAACAGCTTTAGGTGTAATGTATTAGTCATCAGGCCTAGCTATAAAATTATGAACTGGTTTGTCAGACTGGCTAACTAGGTACTGGTTGTTTAGGACTTCATTTATAAAACAAAACAAAACAAAACACAAACTGAGGAATTTGGAAAAGTTGAGGTTGGAAAAGAGAAAGCAAACATTAGTACTGGCTCTATGAGGAGGTAGATCTAATTAGGGTGATAGAACAAAGTGTTCTAGGCACTTAAAATGTTATAGCTAGGAGAAACACATACTGCAAAGAAGAAAAGGTGGCCAAAAGCAACAAAATTAGCCTACTTTATAATATTTATAAAATCATATAGTTTTACTTAATAAGAAACCTAAATATAATAAGAGATGATAAATAATTACACATTACCACAGGCAAATTCAATATAATAAGAAAGTACTAGTAATGAGTAAATGTTCAGAGGTAAAACAGCAAAAACTGTTCCGGAAAATCATGTCCTTTCTAAAAATTCATTGCATGTATATGGGGTGGCAACGAGACTATTTTACATATCTTAAGGAAATGCCTTGTCATTTTACAGACAATATGGATATGAGTCATCTCTGATTAAGAGTACCTACTGTGGGTATTAAAAGACATTTCAATTGTTTTTCCAGGGATTGTTATGGTCACACCCAAATTATATTGTTTCTCAGGAAACAAATGACTAGACTCTTACAAAAACCTAGGAACGTTTTAAGCTAAGTAATTGTACTAAAGGCCTAAAAGTAAAATTTAAATACAAAGTTAAAACCAGACCACAGAAAGAAAAACGAAACTGTATTAGTGAAGCATACTAAAAGACTTAGAAACAGAAAGTAGTAGGGCTGGAGATTTAGCTCAGTGGTTTAGCCGCCTGCTGTGCAAGCACAAGGACCTGAGTTCGATACCAAAAAAAAAAAAAAAAGAAAGAAATAGAAAGTAGTAAAGAGATAAAAGAAATGAGATCTTGTTTAGAAAGAAAAAATTAGTAAAACATTTTAAATATCTTTGACAAAAGACACTTTAAAAAGCATTCAAGAGGAACATCATCAATGGAAGGAAAGAGGAGGAGTCAAACAGACTATGAATTAATTCACAAACATCTGGCACTCAACTTTTCAAATATAAAATGAAAATTTTAATCCAAATCATAAATAAGGATGTTCCAAAAAAATCTTTTTTTTAATGAAAATAACAAACTGTAAATCAATGAGTTACAGATATGAAATAATTTTAGAATCTTTAAAAGAAGCATTATTACAGAATTAAAACTAAAAAAAAAACCTAAAAGGAAATTTTAAGTAAAAATAAATGTATACATTGCTAAAATTTAAATAATGAATCTACTCTTATCACAGCCCTTATTTTACTGTGATCAGAAATTTTCCCTCTTTCCCATTAGACTTGAAGAAGGCAGGAAAGGAACAATGTGTCATTGAAGCCTATATCACTGCATTTAGCAGTGTGACAAAATTTCCTAAATTAATGTCAATTCTAATAATTCTCAATTTTCATTAGTTAAAAATTTTGTAAACATAAATGGCTTAAGAAATTACCTCATACAAGTCACAGCCATAAATATTGACCTTAGTTAGATTTAACTTTTTGTAGACCAGTCACATTCATCAATATGTGTACGGAAGGAAAGAGGGAGTGAAAGTGAGGAAATCATCTTTAGTAAGAAGAAAAATCAAAATTCTACAATAAAAGTGCTGCATTTCAGTGGTGGAGTCTAATAATTTAAACAATATTTATGATACCTATGTAGATTAATTACGGAGCTGTCCAACTCGGTATTATATAAAATTATATATATATATATTTTTTCCGATTAAACCTCAAAACTTAATAATGGATGTGGGATAAGCTTGCTTACCACCTAAAAATTAGGTATCTGTAAAGTTTGGATTTTTGAAAATACCACAGTCCTTAGAAAGCTATGTCACTGACGATGGATTGCTTCTCTCTTTCAATCTCAAACATTCTGCTTCTTGAATACCTGTACTGTAAAGGGGGTTCTTCACCATTGGGTAGATGGGGTATCTCAGGTGGTGTTACAAAAACAGTGTGTTCACTTTTGAAAGACTCATCCAGTTCTATGAGTCGTACTTCACCACTCTTGTCCATATCTACCTGAAAGAATTTTAAAAACATATATTAAAAAAATCCTATTAGCCAAGAATCTATTGATAGGTAATGATTAAACAATTTGCAAAAATACGTACAATAGAGGTATTAAAATAGCAAACTGATGGGGCCAGGTGTTTAGCTCAGTGGTTCTGCCACCTGCCTCACAAGCGTGAGGTCCCGAGTTTGAGAAACGGTACCAAAAAAAAGGCAAACTGAAAATTACTTTATATAGTACACTATCTTTTCAGCATGGAAAATGGAAAATAAGTATACTCATTTTTGCTTATATTTACATAAAAGAATACATAGAGAAGAGAAATAGGATAAAGATGAGATAGAGGGCTGGGGATTTAGCTCAGTGGTTCCGTCGCCTGCCTCACAAGCACAAGGTCCCGAGTTTGATCCCCGGTACCAAAAAAAAAAAAAAAAATGAGATACTGGTGTGAGAAACTGAAAGTGTAAATAAGGACTAAATGTATAATAGGTCATGTGAAATAGGAAGAAAAGGGGCAAAGGGGAACGAAGTGGGAGGGCTAAGGGAAAGGATAGAAGGGAGTGGGATTAACATGAGAAAATGGAAAAATAGGAACAAAATTTTTGTAAATAGAGAGGGCTGCAGGGGTTGACGGGAGGGCTGGGCAAGGGTGAAAAACAAGAACCAAGAGAGACTATGTAAAGGTGCAAATTTCCAATGATGAATGTCATTATATTGTATACCTAAAATGTACCAATTATTAGAATGAATAATCGATAATGTAAAATTGGAATAAAAGGTCCAAAAGGATAGGGGTAAGTGGGAGGCACAGGGGAAAGGAAAGAAGGGAAAGGAAAAAATGATGAGAAATGGAAAAAATGCAAATAAAGTCTTTGTAAACAGGGAAGGGTGGAGGGCGTGAAGGGAGGGCTAGGAATGGGGAAAAAATAAGAACCAAGATGCATTATATAAAGGTACAATTCCCAATGAGAAATGTAATTGTGTTGTATACCTACAATGTACCAATAAAAGAATTTAATACAAAAAAAAAAAAAAGATGAGCTAGAACCTGGATGTTGCAATGTATAAATTTTTATATTGTTTTGCATTTTTGAGTCATAAGAATATAGTCAAGGGCTGGGGATTTAGCTCAGTGGTTTTGCTACTTGCTGAGCGAGCACAAGGGCCCAAGTTCAATCCCTGGTACCAAAAAAAAAAAGAATATAGTCAAGATAATATTTTTTAAAATGTGCACGCAAGTGTGTGTTAGAATAGTTAACCCTAAATATTGTACAATTTTTATTAAGTGGGGCCGGGGATTTAGCTCAGTGGTTCTGCTGCCTGCCTCACAAGCACAAGGTCCTGAGTTTGATCCCCAGTACCCACCCCCCAAAATTTTTACTAAATGAAACAAATTTCCCTCAGTTTTTTCAGTACACTATATGTAGGATTACATTCAAATTAAACTTTAGTCCTCCTATCAATATTGAAAACATTTAAGTAGTACTAGATACCCTATGGGGCAAGGTAATACCCAGAAAAAATGAAGACTTCACAGGGCTTAAATTGCTCCATAAGACTCAAATCAAACAGCAGAACATTGACCTTAATTTTCAAAAAGTTGTCATACATTTGACAAAATACAGCCCACAGAACTATATTTGGTAAGAAAGAATTAATACTAAACAATATAGATGTAATGAGTAAGTTGGAGAGCAAGAACTGTTAACAAGTTATATCTTTCTTTCTTTTTTTTTTTGGTACCGGGGATCAAACTCGGGTCCTTCCGCTTGCAAGGCAGGAGGTGGAACCACTGAGGTAAATCCCTGGCCCTAACAAGTTATATCTTAAAGAGGAGGAGTTGGAGCAGAGTATATGGAAAAACAAAACAAAACAAAAGTTAAAATTTTTTTCTATTAATAAGAACAAGTATATGCAAAATCTTCTTACATAAATTGTTTATAATTCCACAGTACTACATGCTATAATTTCCAAGATTAAAAAATATTATTAATGGTATATCTGTGAAGTGAACTAGTCAACATTAGAGCATGTTTCAGAATTATAAATAACGATATAATTATAACTAAGAGAAAAGGTCACAAAATAGTGATAAATAAAATCAGGCCAAGCCATATATACACATTATGATTAATTATTATTATTATTATTATTTTTTGGTACGGGGATCAAACTTGGGACCTAGCACTTGCGAGGCACTGAGCTAAATCCCCGGCCCTAATTATTTTTTTTTTTGAGACAGGGTCTCGCTATGTATTTCAGGCTGGCTTCAAACTCGCAGCAATCCTCCTGTCTCAGCCTCCTGAGTCCTGGGACTACAGGCGTGTGCCACCACGCCTGGGCACTGTGGTTAATTTTGGGGGTGGGGGCGGTACTGGGGATCGAAATTAGGACCTTGCGCTTACAAGGCAGGCAGTGGCACCACTGAGCTAAATCCCCGGCCCCATTATGATTAATTTTAAAACACAGTAATTATGTATGTTATAGAGATATAGCTCTGCATTCTGTCATACACATACAACTCACATGTATGCATAAACAATTCTCAAAACATAAACTCTGGGTTGTATTACCAGCAATTAATAAATTTTCTTCTTCATTTTTCAATCAAAATATATATTAGTTTTATTTGATTTTTAAAAATACAAAAGTAAATCAGAATAGAAATTTAAATGAGGTAGAATATATTGCTTTTAGAACAAATTATTTCCATTGTGTTGGGATATTTAAAAGTTAATCATCATAAAAGATGGTTTCTTCCCTTTTTAGCTTGCCAAAGACTTTTATGTGGTAAAACTAGCAATGATAAAATAAATATAGTAAACTGGGTAATCATATACTTTGGACTACTCAAAACTGATATAGTCTTGTTTTATAAGGCAAGATGTGTTTAAATATTTCTACTACATTCTTAAGAAAATAATCTACGATTGGGGATTTAGCTCAGTGGTGCCACTGCCTGCCTTGAAAGCAGAAGGTCCCAAGTTCGATCCCTGGTTCCAAAAAAAAAAAGAAAGTAATCTAATGCGAAAAAAAGAAATCATCCTAAAAAAATCATCCTAAAAGATGTTTCTGTAGGATTGCAACAGAAAATAACTGGAAGTCATCCACACGTTAAAAAATAGGTAAATAAATAAATAATGGTAAATTCACTGGATGAAATATTAATAATAAAATGGTAAAGTCATTAATAGTAAAAATGGTAAAGATTATGCAGACTTCTGGTTGTACAAAATAAAAAGTAGTTTGCTTTTAGTAGCCCCTGAAATCTTATCAAAATGAGAGTAAGATGACTGGGAGGAAAAACAAAACTTATAAAGATAAACTGGACAGGGGACAACAGCAGAACTGGAGATTAAAACATTTTAGAAGCTATTAAGTCACTGACCTGTGAAAAGTGAAAGCCACCCATCTGGCATTGGGGAAGGGAAGGAGAGACAAACCACAAAGCATGCCATCTTGCTACACCAGGACAGGAATAAGAAGTGCCAAATGCCCCTTGAATTAGGAGTGCAGATGAGGTTGCTGCAGAAGGATTATTTAAAAGTCCACACTTAAGGACTCCCAAATCCATGGCCCAACCCAAGACAGGACACTACCTCTTGCCAGTGCAGGCAGAAGACTTGGTTAGGTTTTGCTAGGTGAGCCAGAGGGCCTTTTCACTTCAGGGCACTGGGACAATGAGGAAGGTTACTGAAAATAGGCAAAGTAACAACAAAGAGAAAAACTCAAGTTATCTTTCCCCGCTCAACTCTGAGCCCACTAGCAGTTAGGCTTTTGTTCCCCAGGGTAGAGACTGGCTAGAGACTGGAGGATACCTCTTGGGAAAACTAATCAGCCTAAAAGGAAAAGCAGTTACAGGCACTGCAATTTACAGAGATTCCAATGAATTCTTTTACAATTACCAACTCAAAAGTAAGGAAGCCTCAAGCTCCACTTTCCCAGAGAGTGCGCCTATGAGCACTTTTGCCTCTTGAAAATGACAACCAACCAAAAAAATCTCAAGACATAGCCGAGGATTAAGCTCAGTGGTTCCGCCGCCTGCTTTGAAAGCGCGCAAGTGCAAGGTCCTGCATTCAACCCCCAGTACCAAAAAAAAAAAAAAAAAAAATCACAGGAATAGGGAAAACCAGTAACTTGAAAGGGAGCAAAATAAACAGATAAATGTATTCAGAAGGGGCAGAGAACGCAGGGATAAGATACCTTCAAAGTAACTAAAATGAGTAAGTCTACACTCATAAAATAACAAGATGCTATATAAAAAAGGAGCACTCAGTGAATCTGTAGGGAATTGTAAATATGACAGCATAGTGACAAAGTATACTATAAAGGCTGGAAGACACAACTGAAGAAATCTCTCAAAAAGTAGAATTGAAAGATAGAAAACGACATGAATAAAGAAAATCAAGAGATCAGTCCATGAGGGCTAATATACAAATATATGTGTCGGAAAGAGAACAGAGTTGAGGAAAGAAATGAAACAAAAAAAGGGCAAGAAAATTCCTCAGAATTGAAAGAAATGTATTCACAGACTAAAAGAGCAGAAGCATTATCAGAATCAATGACGAAAAAAGGTCTACACAGGGCATATTCTTATGAAGTTTCAGAAAGAACATCAGGGATTTAAAAAGTTTCCATAGAGAAAAGGGTTCAGGCACAAAGAAAGGAACAGAATGTGAGTTGGCATTCAAGTTATCATCAGTAACAGTAGAAGCTGAAACAACACAGCAATGACTTTCAAAACTTTAACCCCACCCCCCCCAAAAAAGTTTAACCAACAAAATTATGAATCATGTCCTGGAGAGAAGCAAGAAATTTTCAGGTAGGCAAAGAATAAGAAAGAAAAAGGAAGGAAGGAAGGAAGGAAGGAAGGAAGGAAGGAAGGAAGGAAGGGAAAAGAAAAGAAAAGAGAAAAGAAAAGAAAAGAAAAATGTTCCATGTACTCTTCTCAGTGAGCTATTAGAAGATATGCTTCAAGATAACAGGGGAGGGAAAAAAAGACATAGTT